TTAAAATTAAAAAAAAATTATAATTTTTGACGGATTTTTCCGTCGAAAATTTTGACAGCAATTTTTGACGGATTTTTCTGTCAAAAATTTTGACAGCAATTTTCGACAGATTTTTCCGTCAGAAAATTCTGTCAGAAATTTTCGACGAAAAATTATTTTCGACGGATTTTTTTTTACGCCACTTTTTCCGACGGATTGAAATCCGTCAGAAATCCGTCGAAAAAAGCAAAATCTGTCAGAAATTTACCTATTTCCGTCGAAAATTAGTGTTTTTCTTGTAGTGAAGGTTTTAGGGTGGATGATGATAGAATGAGCGAATGGGAAGTAGGATAGAATGTGTTTGATGAAAGGCTTGAAAGATGCACTCTAGGGTTGGCTCACTTTATTGATGATGAAGGCTACTTCTAAGGGTTTTCTCTCAAGGTAAAGATGGTAGGGTTTGGCTAAAAATAGCCAAGGGTGACTAAGGAAAGATATAAAGGCACAAAAGGCTCTCTATATATTCAATAGCCAAAGTATTTACAAGGTGTGGTGCTTAGGGTATTTATAAGAGTGGGAGGCATCTAGGGTTGCATTTGGAGAGTGCATGGCCGAAATTTACAATGCCAAATGCACACCAAATGAAACCCAAATTAACCCTAGATGCAACTTGGTAGCCAAGGATGGAATCTTTGGGTTTAGTTAGACTACATCTAGGTGCATGATAAAACCATGCACGTAATATAAAATTATTATATATTATTATTATAGTACAAATATGAGATTGTATATTTGAGGATGACTTAAATGAATTAATTTGTACAAATTATACTGACAACATACATAGACATTTCAGTAGCTTACTCATCAGAACTTCACAGTTAAGCGTGTTTGACCTGGAGTAGTACTGGGATGGGTGACCTTCTGGGAAGTCTCCCAGAAATTGCACAAGTAAGGATAAAACACGCTAAATAGTGACATATTGTGAAATAGAACCCTTGAGAGGCCAAATATGAGAGTTGTTACATTAATAAATTTATTAAAATTAAAAAAAAATTATAATTTTTGACGGATTTTTCCGTCGAAAATTTTGACAGCAATTTTTGACGGATTTTTCTGTCAAAAATTTTGACAGCAATTTTCGACAGATTTTTCCGTCAGAAAATTCTGTCAGAAATTTTCGACGAAAAATTATTTTCGACGGATTTTTTTTTACGCCACTTTTTCCGACGGATTGAAATCCGTCAGAAATCCGTCGAAAAAAGCAAAATCTGTCAGAAATTTACCTATTTCCGTCGAAAATTAGTGTTTTTCTTGTAGTGAAGGTTTTAGGGTGGATGATGATAGAATGAGCGAATGGGAAGTAGGATAGAATGTGTTTGATGAAAGGCTTGAAAGATGCACTCTAGGGTTGGCTCACTTTATTGATGATGAAGGCTACTTCTAAGGGTTTTCTCTCAAGGTAAAGATGGTAGGGTTTGGCTAAAAATAGCCAAGGGTGACTAAGGAAAGATATAAAGGCACAAAAGGCTCTCTATATATTCAATAGCCAAAGTATTTACAAGGTGTGGTGCTTAGGGTATTTATAAGAGTGGGAGGCATCTAGGGTTGCATTTGGAGAGTGCATGGCCGAAATTTACAATGCCAAATGCACACCAAATGAAACCCAAATTAACCCTAGATGCAACTTGGTAGCCAAGGATGGAATCTTTGGGTTTAGTTAGACTACATCTAGGTGCATGATAAAACCATGCAACCTTTGCCCTCCACTTGGGCCTAAGCCTTTCTAAGTCCAAAAATAGGTCTAAAAACCATAAAAAAAACATTTAGCCTCCTAATTAAATACCTTAGCCCAAAAATAAAAACCTATGATCTAAATCACCCCATAATACAAGGGTAAAATGGGAAATACAAAAGAAAATAAACCTTGTGACTTAGATACCCCAAATACAAGGGTAAAATGGGAAATACAAGTGAAATAAATTCTAAGACTAAAATACCCCAAAATACAAGGGTAAAATTGGAATAAAGCAATACAATCCTATACTACTCAAAATGGGCCTAGGAGATGGATCCATACTCCATATTTATGATGAGTATGGCTCTAGGCATGCTATCTCCTTCATCTTCCTCCATTCTCCTAGCTATGGACCATTTGATGGGTCCCACATGAAGTTCCAAGGATGGTCTTCCATCATCCCCTCCTTCTTGAGAAGGATTTGACCTCAAATCATTATGCTCCTACATTCCATTGGTCCTTCAAAAGATGTGAGACCACAATTAGGGAAGTAAAATACAAAAGCTTAGCTATGTAATCGTTAAGTACACAATTTGTTGAACGATACTGCTAAGGGGATTGAGGGAGCCAAAGAGGCATCACCAACCAAGCAAATTTTGAAAAAGTTATTGACCCATGCAACTCATTCACCAAATCATCTATCTTAGGGATTGGGTGCCTTTTATTCAATGATGGCTTTTATAAAAGGTGCTCATCCTCCATTACCATCTTTCTTTGGCATCAAAAGAATGAGGATGGCACAAGCCACTACTAGAAGGATTGTATTCTAAGTCGGTTATTTTTCCATATCTACATCGGTTTTAAAACCGACTTAGATAAGGGTGACGTAGATGAATGAACATATCTACGTCGGTTAAGTAAAAATCGACTTAGATGTATTTAAGTCGGTTGTAAAAACCGACTTAGATGTATTTATACATTTAAGTCAGTTGTCACAAAAATGTCTTAGATGTGCACATACATCTAATTCGATTTTTATCAAAACTGACTTAGATGTATATGTGCACATCTAAGACGGTTTTTATTCAAAACCGACTTAGATGTGCACATATACATCTAAGTCGATTTTTACGTAAAAACCGCTGTAGATTGTATTTTTTTTAACCAGATTAATTTTTAAAACACCAATTTCCACCACAATAAACACCATCATAACGAATGATCCAAGCTACTCAGTTTGAAGAACAAAACAAGGCATGATTAATTGAGTTTGTTTCACATAATTCTGAAAACAAATCATTGGTAAAAGAATTGAAAGAGGTATGATCTGATTCTTACTTAGAAATCTTGCTACCCTTACCTTAGTTTTAGAAATTGACTCAAACTGTTGAAGAAACTTTGACAGATGATGGTTGGACCCTAGCAATCCAAGAACTTTATCAGTCACAAGAAATCATGTACAAACATATATTTCCGAGATAAGACAAATGTATTATTGGAAAAAGATAGATATTTTGAAACAAATTTGATGATTTTTGTCAAATTACAAAGTGAGTTTTTTTTTTTTAATTATAGTATTGATATGAAGTATTATTTATTTTTAAAAATAATAACTAATTTTTGTTAGGAATCCTAAGTGCACATAATGTAAGTATTTCTCTCATAATATAATTTATTCCATATTTAATGTTAGAATTTGAAATTTAAATAGTTTGATAAGAGATATAAATTTGAAATTTAGATTTAGTTGGAATAAAAATCTGGTTTTGAGGATATTAGTTAGTATACTATGTTTTCAAATAGTAATGAACTCTAATTTTCTGACTCATATATATTAATTATCGTACAATACTAATAAAGCCTATCACAATATATAGATAATTAAAGTCTTTATATAATTTTAGTTATCTATATAAAAAAAATTCACGTCTAGCAATATGATTTTCTGACCATTACTGTGTTTTAACTTTTAGAGAGTAATTCAATAGTGGAGAGTGGAGAAATCCCAAACAATCAATTGCTAGCACTAGCAATATTGCTGTAACTTCAATATATTATAACTGGAACAATTTCTTTTTTAAAATATAAATGCATTCACAGTAAAGAATAAAGAAAATTCCTTATACCAAGCTTCATCAAGCAGAGCAATGATTCCACCAGGTTTCTGAAAGAAAGAAAGAAAGAAAGACATTTCTTAGATATCAGTGTTGTGATATTCTGAAAGTAGATTCAGAGGATACAATCTTAGCAAATTCTGAAACAAATAATCCATAAATAATGTTAAAATTGATATAAAAACAATTAATTGTTACTTTCTCTTATTTCCATCTTGTCAAAATTGACGTGAACTCAAAGATGTTCATATTCTTCGAACCAGAGATAAATCAATGATCCATGTGTGGTCCACAATGTAGTTGCTGTCAGTCTTTTGTGAGTTTAATAATAAACTTTATCATTATGTGGTGCAAAACTATGATTCAGACAATCACAAGGTTTATTACGTGAGAATAAACCTCATTGAACACGAAAAATGCCAATTAAGTCATTCCAAAATAAACTAGATGTTTTACAAATTACAATAGTCATATGGATGTACTTCAGTTCCTGAGTTAGATTTGCATGTGAGACGCATATTAGGATGAAGATCTGCTCAAGGTTTATATGTCATTTGTGTTAATCCAATCAAGTGCCGATAAAGACTCGATCCTACTAGGAGTTTTCAAACTTTGATATTGCAATTGATAACAAGCCTATTATTTGACTACTGTTGTTTTTCTCATGTTGAAATTCTCTTGGCCAAGTTTTGTTTTCTTTTTGCACCATGGGGAGGAGGCAGTTGCATAATAAAACCAGAAAATTTTATGCTAGAATTTGGTATCATCTTTCTGCATTCTAAAGGTTCTTATTCTGTTTTATTATCCTTTCTTAGGGGATACTTCATTCTTCTTTGCATAATGAATATTGGAGACTGATAGATCCTCAAGGGAAACCAACAGGAGTGATGGGATGGTGGGCTTCTCGTGCTGTTAGATTCCTAGAGAACCATGATACCGGGTCCACACAAGTATCAGCTCTCCCTCTCTCTCTATCTATCTAATGAAGTTTGATGCATAAAATATTTGTTAGGAACCCAGAAATGGATCTTGAATTTTTGTTAATGTGCTTCATAGCTCTGGGAATTTGGTCTATAGAATTTGTAGGGTATTCATAGCAATTTTCTTTTTACGAACAAGATTTTTGTTGAAAAAGTGCAACCCAAGTCCCCCACATCATTTGCAAAGGAGCAGAACCATAGGTTTATAAAGTACACACATGCTCCATTGACATGAGACCTTTTGAGAAATAACCAAAAACAAAATCATGAGTGTTTAGGCTCAAAATAATGGATAATACCATACTAATGTAGACATGTGTACTAAGTATCCCCCTTGGTGCACCCTAACAATTTTTAAAATAATCTTTTTTGCATATGCATATTTATTCACTAGCATCATGCTCCAATCAAACTATCCTGACCATTCATATAATGTGCCAGTTATACTCAATTGCAGAGTGAGTTTAGTTGAAACACACGAAAATACATTCTTATTTCAAAGGTCAAACATGAATTCACCAATACCTTGCTGTATAAACTATATAGGCTTTTTAATCGGCTTGATAATGTAATTTCCATTCTCGGAACATAACTGCAAAAACACAAGAAACCTTTAAGAACTATAAAATTGATTACACCATAGCATTATAGTATTCAGCAGTTGACAGTTCTGCATAAAACACAAAAATATAGTTCAGCATGCATTTGTCATGGACAATACCAGAATGTAAAAGTGGTAAATGATAATGGTCAAAAAGAACATACGAAGCTGATATAATCAATTCTCACTCAAGTGCTTCCTCACAAATTACCAATGATGCCAAAGTTAACCTAGCATCATGAACAACCTTTGATTTCGTGCATGTCTCTAGATTATTCCCAATACTATTGAGATAGTTATCATGTTTTCTCCGATCCAACAATATATCAAATGGTACTACAACTTCCAAAAGATCCTGGAAAGTAAAAAAAATATATAAAATAAATAAATAAAAGAGGTAATGTAATTACAATGAAAAATTTGTCAAATCCTTTCCCAAGACTTTTTGAAGCAATGAATAGTAATTACTCAAAACCATCAATCATAAGCATTGGAGAAAACAGGCCAAGGGTTTAACCAGAGACACTTCAGATCGCCACCTAAAGTTATCTTTATATTTTTCAGCAAACATAAAATACTTCGAACCAAATATATTTAATGGTAAGGACTTAAACAAATATGTTGAGTAACCTTCTAATTTAAAGATTAATTTTTGCTTAATGAGCTGCAATCAGGATATTAAGAATAAGTCAAGATAGGATCACTTCATAGTTCATACTTCATATGCCTTCCCCCAGTTCCTCAATCATTTTGCTTCAAAATTTTAGTAGAATAAATTAAGAATTTCATGTAAAAAGACAAAAATATATATTAAAAAAATAGCATAATTATTGAATTATTTTTCGCTCATTGATATCACACAGCAAGGCATAAAACAAGGATTTTGGTGTAAATTGTCACTAAGCACCAGCATAACCGAGATAGAAACTACCAAAGGCAACCATACAGCAGAATTTAATTCTCATGATGCATACCTTCATACTTACGTCCTCATTGAATGTCAAGGATTCATTGTAGAAAGAATTTGAAGCATTCTCGTTCAAAGGTATCAAGTTGCCTTTTACAGAGAATCTCCTCAAGTTTCCTGTTCTGCTAGTAGGACTCCACATAGAAGCCAGATCAACTCGCATCTTTTGAAATATTTGAGGCTGGTATCAAGGTACAAATACAAACATGGATGTGTCAAGAGTCAAAACTATAATAATGCCCAAGTCAAACCTACTTAGGCTTTAGAAAGGAATTACACACAAATTCCACTCTGCTTCAGCTATATTGGGGCATAACCATCCATTGAAGAATGTCCTTTATTTATTGATAAACACTCAACTAATATTCACCAAGAAAAAAAATAAAGGAAAACAGCACAAAAAATATAATTAATAAATAACACAACACAACTTCCACAAAACAAAAATGGAAAATAAAAATTAACAGATGAATAAACACATATATATAAACCACTAAAGGCTATGTCAAACAAAAATAATCTTTACCTGTTTAAAGAAAAATAATTAAAGAATTAACAAAATGGCAACATTAAAGAATTAGCTTTTTGGTGTGGTTTTCCCAAGATTCTTATCTATAGACTTGATTGAGCATCACAAAGGCAAGCAAGCACCTAACAGTAGGAGGTGATAAAAGCCATGAACCTCCATATGATTAAAGTTGATTACCCACACTCCTACGCACAGCTTTATGTTAAACTTTTCAAAAAGAAAATCTCATAGATGGATTCCTGGTTACAACAACTTTAAACAGCATAATTCTACTATTTAAAATAAGTTGTTATTGATTACAGAAGGTATGGCTATTTCAATTCCTGTATCAGGTTAAGCAAAAAATTCCTGGTTAGATAAGCTTGGACAATGGCACGAGCACTCAAAAATAGTAGAATAACATCTGACTACTTCTTGCGCCAGAGCTCTGAAATCCAATTAGAGTCATAAAGCAAAAAAGAACAATACCTTGGGATAATGAAATTCAGTCAACTCGATTGATCTTAATACTAGAACGCCAAGTTACCAATTAGAAATGCGTGGGAGACAAGAAAAGATGGACCGTGTGTGGCCCGTTTCTCCCAATAAATCGTTCTATTTGGATCTGGCAAGCAAATGGAGAAACAGGAAAAAGCGGCTTCGAGTTCATCACCAGCCAGAAAGCTCACCCAACATTAACCAGAAAAATCTTGAAACTACGACGACAGAGGGAAATGAGAGAATGAGAGAGAAGATTAAACTTGAGAAGATTAAACTTGGTAATGGTTGCTCCGAAATATGAGAGAATGAAGAGAGAAGAGAAAGAGGAAATACCTTGTCGTCGTTGAGGTTGTGCTTGCCGAAATCGACTTCGTCGTTGAGACTTAGGTTGAGAGCTTTCTAGAACTGAGAGAGAGAACGAGGGTTGTGGTTGGGAGACTGAACAGCGCGCATGAATTAAGAGCGGGGCCGCGAATTTTGGGTCTCCATCGAAGTTGGTTTTACACAAAAACTGTTGTAGATCACATAATATCTAAGTCGATTTTATTAAAAACCGTCGTAGATATATTTGTGTAGGCTATTCTACTACGGGTATTCACTAAACCGTCGTAGATAATGTTCCTTTTATTTACAAAAATGTCACCGCGTCTTATTCTACATCATTTTTTAGTAAACCGTGTTAGATTAAGCGACTTAGATTATTCTTTTTATAGTAGTGAGCGTTAAGGTTTTCCTGAACCTAGCCCTTCTTTCTCTCCAAAGGGAGAATTCTTTTCTTTTCTTTTCTTTTTCTTTTTGTTTTTGCTTTTCTCTTCTTCATCTTTCTTGACTTTCAATTTGAGTTGGTCCTCATTCACTTGAGAAGGTGATAGAGGACACCACAAAAATTTCTTACCCAAGTGTTGGAAACTTATTTTATTGGTGAGGCCATCATGGATTGTTTTCTTTTCAAATTGTCATGGCCTCCCAAGCAAGACATGACTAACCTCCAATGGCACTATTTCGCATAAAACTTCTTTATAATTGCCAATAGAGATTGGTATGCTTGCTTGTTGGTTAACTACAATACCTCTTTCCTCATTGATCCTTTGCATTCTATAAGGTTTAGGATGAGGTTTTGTAGTCAAGGCTAACTTATCAACCAATCTAGTGCTACAACAATTGGAAGTAGACCCACTATCTACAATGAGAGAACAAGTGTTTTCTAGAACCTTGCATTTTGTTTGAAACAAGTTCTCTCTTTGAGATTGGTCAATTTCACTAGATTGATTATTAAGGAGCCTTCTAACCAATAATGTCTCCTTCACACGGAAATATTTCTTCCTCGGAATCTATGGCTTCTTCTTCACTACTAGAGGAAGAAAAAGTAGCTTCATCAAGGCTACTATAGTGATCTTGGACTTTTAAAACCATAGTTTTCTTTGTAGGACATTGAGAAGCAATATGTCCTCTTCCAAGACACTTGAAGCACTTGATTTCACTTGATTTAGACTCTTTGGAAGGTGTTTTGAAAGACGGTTTTTCTTTTTCTTTTTCTTCTTTGGGATAAGGTAGGGAAGAGTGGCCCTTCTTCTTAAAACTCTTAGAATAAGAGGGAGTGGAGTCTTTTTGAAAAGGTTTTCTTTTAAGTTGATGCTCCACCCTTGAACAAAGTTGAACAAGTTCATTCAAATCTCTATAAGGCAAAAGTTTAACTTTATCTCTTATCTCAAGGTTTAGACCACTTTCAAATCTAGAGATTGTGGTCCTCTCTTCCTCCCTAATCCCAGCCCTCATCATTAGCAACTCCATAGATTGCCTATATTCTTCCACACTAGATGACCCTTATTTCAATCTTTGTAGCTTGTCCATAAGCTCACGGTCATAGTATGGACGAATATGCCTCCTTCTCAAGGAACTACGGAGCTCATTCCAATGTTGAATTAGGGGTTCATGGTTTATTCTTCCTTCCTTTTCTAAGGAGGTCCACCGATACATGGCATGCCCTTGGAAGCTAAGGGTTGCCAAAGAAACCTTTCTCTCTTCACTCACTCCATGGCAAGAAAATAATTGTTCTACTTCCATTTCTCAATCCAAATAAGTTTCAACATTGTCTTTGCCATGGAATGGGGGAAGGGTGATGTTTGATTCTTTATTGGAAGACTCCCTATGTCTTGGTTGCCTTAGGGGCCTTTGATAGTAATCATCATTGTGATGACTACTATAGAAGTTATCACTTGCAGGTTGGGTACGATGCCCTTCCTCATCAGGAATACTTGAGGGTATTCTAACCCCTTTAACCTTTTAGGATTTAGGAGAAGAGACTCTTGGTCTTGAACCACTAGCCTCTCCTCCCGCAACTAACCTAGCAAGCAACCTTTTTATTTCTTCATTGTTTTTCTCATTTTCTTAACTCTTCCTCTCTTTTTATATTTTCCTCTTCTTTTTTTCTTAGGTACTCTTTTAATTGCCTAAGTTCATCCCTAACACTAGACCCAGTACTACAAGAGTTATGACCATGTACACTAGAATGATCACTCATCTTTGATCAAGAAAAGGTTTTCACAAATTTGTTTCAAAAGGTTTGGTAAAAAGATTTTCACAAAGAGTGAGTGATGAAAAAGGTTTTCACAAAAAGGTTTTCAAAGGTGCAAAATTGGTATGAAAAGGCCTAAGTGTACAAAGTGAACTATCAAGGGCTAAGGTTTTCACAAAAACGACTACTAAGAATCACTTAAAAATCAAGTCTTTTCAAGTAAAAATCACTAAGCTTTTTCACACTTTTCTCACAAAAATTATTTTCACAATACTAAGGTGTGTGATGTGCGTGACCCCCTAGTAGGCAAATGAAGTCTTCTAAACGAAACAAATAAACAAAGTAAAGTCCTAGGAAAATATACTACCAAAGCTTTAAAACATGCAAAGGAAAGTAGTTAAAGCATATGCTAGTCGGTTTCCTAGGTGAAGGTTTTCAAATCACCTTCAAACTACACTAAACTACCACCAAAAAATGAAGAGTTTTTAAATGGCCAATTACAACCAAAATGAAAGAAAGTAAAGGCCAGAATACAAAAAGGCCGAAAATTTAATAAGAAAGAAACAAGTTGAAAAGAAAAATTGCAAGTCTTCAAGTCTTCAACTCTCCACCCGTTCACATGGAACACCCAAGGTTAGCTTTTAAATGGTGTTTGCACTCTTTGATTTAGTGTAATCCTCCAAATCTCCTTGAACTCAAATCGGACAGCACTCAATCCACCAAGAAAGGGTGTGGTGTTTAGAAGCTTTCCTCACCTAGGTCAAGAAGAAACCAAAACCCAAGAGTACAAGAGACCAAGAAAGAAAAACTAAAAGGGCACAATTAAAAAGGTTAAACTCAAGTAGATTTGTTGAAACAAACTTAAGAGTAGAAAGAAAGATTCAAAAACTAAAATTAAGGCACATTAACAAAAGGCAAGCACACAAAAGAGTAATTCCTAAAATGGCACTAGAATAGAATTTATCAAGAAGGCTAAGCAATGGAATGATGCACTTAATACGTTTGATTTAATGTCTCATTCAGCCATTAAGTTTTGTCCATAAGTCCAAAATTAACTCTTCCTCTCTTTTTATATTTTCCTCTTCTTTTTTTCTTAGGTACTCTTTTAATTGCCTAAGTTCATCCCTAACACTAGACCCAGTACTACAAGAGTTATGACCATGTACACTAGAATGATCACTCATCTTTGATCAAGAAAAGGTTTTCACAAATTTGTTTCAAAAGGTTTGGTAAAAAGATTTTCACAAAGAGTGAGTGATGAAAAAGGTTTTCACAAAAAGGTTTTCAAAGGTGCAAAATTGGTATGAAAAGGCCTAAGTGTACAAAGTGAACTATCAAGGGCTAAGGTTTTCACAAAAACGACTACTAAGAATCACTTAAAAATCAAGTCTTTTCAAGTAAAAATCACTAAGCTTTTTCACACTTTTCTCACAAAAATTATTTTCACAATACTAAGGTGTGTGATGTGCGTGACCCCCTAGTAGGCAAATGAAGTCTTCTAAACGAAACAAATAAACAAAGTAAAGTCCTAGGAAAATATACTACCAAAGCTTTAAAACATGCAAAGGAAAGTAGTTAAAGCATATGCTAGTCGGTTTCCTAGGTGAAGGTTTTCAAATCACCTTCAAACTACACTAAACTACCACCAAAAAATGAAGAGTTTTTAAATGGCCAATTACAACCAAAATGAAAGAAAGTAAAGGCCAGAATACAAAAAGGCCGAAAATTTAATAAGAAAGAAACAAGTTGAAAAGAAAAATTGCAAGTCTTCAAGTCTTCAACTCTCCACCCGTTCACATGGAACACCCAAGGTTAGCTTTTAAATGGTGTTTGCACTCTTTGATTTAGTGTAATCCTCCAAATCTCCTTGAACTCAAATCGGACAGCACTCAATCCACCAAGAAAGGGTGTGGTGTTTAGAAGCTTTCCTCACCTAGGTCAAGAAGAAACCAAAACCCAAGAGTACAAGAGACCAAGAAAGAAAAACTAAAAGGGCACAATTAAAAAGGTTAAACTCAAGTAGATTTGTTGAAACAAACTTAAGAGTAGAAAGAAAGATTCAAAAACTAAAATTAAGGCACATTAACAAAAGGCAAGCACACAAAAGAGTAATTCCTAAAATGGCACTAGAATAGAATTTATCAAGAAGGCTAAGCAATGGAATGATGCACTTAATACGTTTGATTTAATGTCTCATTCAGCCATTAAGTTTTGTCCATAAGTCCAAAATAACTCCAAGTGTCAAGGTATGAAAATTTGGTCCAAAAACTCCACAAGTCGAGCAAATGTTCTCTTTTTCTTTCATCTTTGATTCTTTTGTTCCTTTTTAGGCTTGGATAGGTCTCGATTATATGTCCAAAGGTCCAGCCACAATATCCTCTTTTTTTTATATTTTGTACTCTTCTTTTGTTTGGGTTTTACACTTGTAAAAGTTGATTTGATTAGCAATTGTTTGGAGTATCTTTCATTGTAACTTATGATGGCTCAATGAGATAAGATTTGAGTGTTTTCTTAAAGTTTAAGTGTGCAAAAGTAAAGCAGCAAAATATGCACATCAAAGTCATATTTTTCACACTCAAATCATCAAACAACATATAGGAATGTAAGTGCATTAGGATGTAGTCAAGAATGACCAAAAATTTTAAAGCAAGAATGTGCAAAGGATATAATCACACATGATATTTTAGTGATATGGAA